ATTCGATTTCTCTATAGGCGAGCAAGTGTAGTGTTGAGTCATCACACCTGCTGTTTAACTTTCCTCCCTCGATTTGCTAATCCGATTCGAACTTCCCATTAAAATCCCCATCATTGTGCAGAAGATTAGTTTCTTATTATCATAATGACTTACTAATTTGGCTTGGTTCCAGTCCAAATGTACGTTTTACTCCAGGCGCTATTTTTCAAGCCTGTACAGTGCCATCTCAGAGTAAAGAGCCTAGGCTCAAGTTCCCATGCTTGCAGGTATCAGACTGCCCTAACGGGCCACCTCTCAGGTTCCATTTTCTTAGTATTGGTAGTAGTTTTTGAGCTAATTCGCAGGAACAGACATCCATTTACTCCTTCTTTATCCTTTTTCATATTCCCCGTCCTGCCATCAGCTCTTCACGGTAAGTATGTCTCTGTATTACTTCCCTCATGTATCCGATGCCGATGAATATCCGAATCAACTTTTCTAATTCTTCATCCCAGAATGTCAAGTCCGTTAATCGTAGGCTTCTGATAATCATGCTCCTCAGTATGCCTATCTTCATTGTGTAATTGTGAGGAAATCCGAAATTTAGTAATATTCCGACACATGACTACTTTCGGAACAATTTCCTCTTTAGTGTCCCAGTGGAGTGAATAACCTCCCCATCTAGAAAGGCCAAACGCCCCTCTTTCTCTACATCCATTGTGAATTTGATTTTTTCATCAACCCAGTTCATAAACTTCATGAAATCTTCCAACTTTTCTCTTCCATGATACCATATTGCAAAGTAGTAATCCAGGTACCGCATAAGAACTCTTGGTTGCAGCGGTAACACCTTGAAATTCTCTTCTAATTTGTCCATATATACATTTACCAATAAAGGTGAGCGGCGATCCCATAGGAAGTCCAAAGGTCTGTTCATAGATATTTCCGTTGAATGTGAAGCAGGTAGTCCTTATCGTCAAGTTGATTAATCGTATTAACGATTCCCTTCTGATACTCTCTGCTTCTAGGATATCCTTTTCTCGATCCAAATTTTCTACTAGAACGGCTATCGCCTTTTCTCCAGAAATCGTGTGCACATAGATTGTACATCAATAAGTGACGTTCTTCGAAACCAAGTTTTTATACATACTTAGCAATAATTGTTTCTTCCAATGTCAGGTTTTTTATCCTTCGAGAAAATTCATGAGTGCCCTGCTGTGTTTGATAATCTGTCGTTTACCTTGTTGCGTTTAGACGTATGAACTTTGCTCATTTGTGTGTTGCTCCATACTAGTCAGCCTTAGTAAATCCTTTTTTTGTTTATCTTCGGTAATCCCTTGGCTGTTGATGGTAGTGCACCCTTACTAATTAGTAAATATATCATCCATCCATCGACCTCGCCGTTACTATGCATATCTTTCAGGTTGTCACGAGAGGTTTCACTAATCTTCATAGTTAGGCCCTTCTTTATTACATGATAAATGTTCATCTCTTCTGGTATACTTTCCATTTTCTTGGTATATTGTTTCATGCCCATTATCACAGTCGCTCATGTAGTCACCTGACGAACTAATTGTTCATTTCTTTGTATGATCTTGCGTACCCCTCCTAATTTGTTCCGGTTCGTTGGTTCCTGATGAGTAAAAAATCTTTGGATTATTTCCATCTCAATTTTCCGTGTTGTCTCCTCAAAGATCTTGTAAAAGATAATGATGATCTTCGCAAGGATGCCTTCTAGTCAACCGTTTTAAGGAAAAAATTTAGCCCTTTCTTGAGGATCGTGGTGATTTCTGGATCAAGGGGAATCGAAGACAAATTGACCACTTTATCCCGATTGTCAGTGGTTGCTGTTACCTTTCAAGCCACATCAACTGGGACCACTGGCTTTAACTTACGATATCTTCAAATCCCATACCTATGTTATGTATATTTGTTATCAAGTCAGAGATCCTAGGTGATTTTATGTCGGTTATAATCTGGAGTTTATGAAAATGAACCAAGTCCACATACCAACACTGGTAAATGATAACCACTATAGCACAGGACTTCGTACAAGGTGCGCTCACTAGGTCGACGTGGTAACACGATAAAGTTTCTAAAATGAGATCGGACCACTTTAATATATATATGGCCTAACAATAAGATGTTAAAAATATTAAAATTGGCCTCAGTATAACCGAAAAGCAACCGCTTGGCGAGGAAGCTTCATCCAAGACCTGTCTCAGATCAAAGGAGGCATTTAAGGGTTGTTATAACCAAATTTCGTGAAGAATGACAAGTGGTAATCTGCTAGCCCAGGTGGTAAGTCATTATCCAACTTGAGATAGAATGTGTGGCAATAACGTTATTATAAATAATGTGAAGCACTGAAAAGGAGCATTCGCATCCACACAAAGCTTAAGGATCTTGGTTGATTTCCGTACTTCTCTTTGTTATGAGGATTTTGATCGCAATACTTTTGCTTCATTAAACGAGTATGCTGTATATGAAATTAATCTACTAACTTGTTGAATCGTGAATACTATTGATTTATATGGAAGTGGAATAAATGCTTGAGCGATAATCAGACTATCATTGGATGCATTTATAGATAATAAAAACGGTAATAAGATTGCTTACGAACGTAATGATAAATCTTAACAACCGTTTAATTAGCAAAAGTAGTAGAAAAAATCATTCAATGCATACGAATACCTGTCTGGCTTCTGCGCTCCCCATTGACTGCAAAACAGCCTTATCTAATCCAAGTTTGAGGGAAGCCCGGTCGAACATCTCTCGCTCATAGGTATTGCGCGTTATAAGCCGATACACTTTGACCATTTTCTGCTGACCAATTCGATGACATCTCGCCTGGGCCTGAAGGTCATTTTGAGGGTTCCAGTCGGAGTCGTAGATAATGACGACATCAGCAGCCGTAAGATTAATTCCCAATCCTCCAGCCTTAGTACATAAGAGGAAGACAAATTTATCTTCCTCTGTCGATACAAAGAATGAATCAGCACATTCAAGTTTGGAAACAAATAAGGGAGGAAAATAGGAAGGTAAATTCATCACATAGCCTGGAAAAAAATGAAGAAATTCAAGGGTCGTTTGTAGTCTTTTATAAAATGAAATCACAATAAAATTGATATAATTTTGGTTTCATGCGAGCTACCATAGGTAAGTGGAACGAACCTAAAGTGTTTCTGTTAACCCAAGATTTTTAGGATAATTTCTCCTCTAAAAAGCAGTGGGATTAAAGGCAATGCAAGCTATATGGAAGGAAGAATAAACAAAAAGAACCAGGTATATGCTCGGAATGAGTCTAATTATGGGGCACGAATTTAAGTCAGAGCTGCAAAGTCAATTTGGCCCGAGAAAGCAAATGATAGATTTGTATGCAAGATGAAGGGTGTTAAAAGCGTAAGAGAAAACAAATGAGCCTGCCGAGTAACGCATTCATTCTGCGAATTGTGAGCTTGTAGGCCTACGCTATTGACGCAAACACCTTATGATAGCCATATCCAAGTTAAGAGTGTATCAAAACTGACTGAGAACACAAGTTCATTTGTTTGACGATTGGATATTGCCTTAGCGCCCAGTGAAGCGATGAGATACAAATGCGCCATGTATAATAAAGATGACGAATCTCGGCCACCTTATCTTTCCGTCTAGCCTAGTTGTCGCAATTTGAGGTAGACCAAGAAGCTTTGGTCAGACACGCACCATCTAGCGATGGCAATCGATTAATGAGTCACCGGAAGAAGCTTTTTTCTCGCCATCCCAACCAAACCAGATTTGGCCAACGGGGCGGTGAGGTCAAGTCTAAAACTGTCTCGATTCGAGACTGTGCTATGAGGTCGGAGTGACGGCCGAAGAGCGAGGGTTGGATGGGCCCAAGAATTAGTGGCAAGTGCGAGGTGAAGGGCAAACAATCGATGAAAAAGCATGGTAAGAGAAACGCTGATTCCGATATATTGCTGGTATAATAGAAGATTAGAGAGACGAGCAGACAGATGAAAGAAAGCGTCGTTTACGCCAGGATTGAGGAGAGAAAGGAACAAGGTACGAACGAGGGGGCAAATCTAAATCCTGCCTTTATCTCATCCGCCTAGGAAATGAGTGTGAAACCAGGCCAACGATCCAACGTGGAGGGGGGAAGGGCCAAGTGGCTTGAACGTGTCTCTAGGCTGCGGACAAACGAAGAGGTCCACGATTCTGGGCATAGACATGCGGCGGTCATATTAAAAGCGCTGTACTAGAGAGGGTGGTGCGTGGATGGGGGGATGAGCAGGTATGAAGAGGATAAGTGTGGATAAAGGCAAAATTGAGTTGAAGCTTTCAGCCAGCACACAGCAGTCAGGCTGATGGAAGTCAGGCACCCAGTTGGTAGGCCGAACAGTCGACCGGCAGAACAGCCGGACCGGACCAGGCCAGGCCAGATGGACGCCTGGCTGCATGGCTAGTCTGCTTAGAAAAGGCCGGTGGACGAGTCAGTAAGTAGTCAGTCAGCCAGTCAGTCAGGCCAACTTACGATTGCAGAATCGATCAATAGCCTCTTGTCGCAGAAGGCCATGAATGCGCCCGTCGATTCGCTCGAATGGGAAGCTGAAATACATAAAGAGAGATTGGAAGAAATTAGGGCAAGATAAAAACACAAACGTGCACGTTATGAGGCATAACAAAACACGGACACTTGAAAGAACTGACAGTCGCGCAAGACAAACATATTGTTTGCAAACAAAAACAGAATGAACGATACTCGGAATGAGGGAGATAGATGGGCCAAAATGGCGAAATGCCAACTTGTTTCTAAAACTAAGGCATAGCAATATGCCGGGCCTTAGCAGAGCAGAAACCAAGATGGGAATGGGAACTTAGGAAGAAAAACCTAACATAAAAATCTAGATGACTCACAATGAGAGGCGTGAAAGAAAGCATAAGATGGATAAGATGACAAAGGTTGAATATAGCAAAGGTTTAAAAATGCGAAATAAAAGTAAAAAGAACAGAATAAACTAAGTTAAGACAGATCAGACTGCTTGTACATATATTTAGCCGAAGGGGCAATGCGAAGAGAGAGTATGAACTAACCTCTGATGGACAAGGTAGTCCTCAAGAATGTCGAGAACACGAATCATCTGAGAAAAAATGAGAACCTTGTGGCCATCAGAACGAAGCTTTGGCAATAATTTATGCACGAGAACCAGTTTTCCGGAAGCGTTCACCAGAGCCTTAAACATTAACTCCTCTTCAGCCTCGATAGATTCTTTGTCGTTCTAAAGTAGACAAGTTGCATACAATTAGCTTCTAATAACGAATGTGACACTGAGCAGAATAGATGTTATCAGTGAGAAATAAAATAAGAAATTACTAATGGGGAAGAGAAAAAAGTTA